AGAGAACATGGACACAGAACTTGGCTGGAGATTGTGGCTAGAGATCCTGGCAAGGCTGCTGATCAACTGAACGTTGTCTCCGTGTCATTCCTTCCTCGCCGACTCCGTCCACACCTTTGGGGACCCCTGGACCTGCTGGGGCTGGACCCCAGCATATGGATAATCCCTCCAAACACCAGGGCTTTAAGATGCCCGCTCAGTTCTGAATCCAGGTCACACAAATCTATGTCCAGCAATGAAACTACATAACTTTTAAAAATGCACTAATACTAGGCCTGCTAAAGTGACAGCTAATTAGGCCGAGGTCAGGTCTGAGCAGGAGTTACTGCCAAAATATGCAATTACAAATGGTGTGACTGGGGCGTGGGCACCAGGGATCGCGTTTCACTTCTGAATAAGCATTGGTGACCTGAGCTGGTTGGGCTCCCTCCAAGCCCCTGAAGGCCTGGCGCGGAGAGTGAGCCCTGTAAGAACCAGGGCCTGGCCGACCCAACGCGGCCCTGCCCGGCCCAGCGAAGCTCACAGCAGAGGGGAACCTTAGAGTTTTCACAAGATTGGGGGCCACTACTCAAGTTTATTGGGAAGCAATAAATCAAGGGTTTGCTGAATTCTGAAGTGACTTATTATATTTTCTTCCAATTCAGATTTATATTCCCACTTGCTTTTTTAAAAAATATATACTTTTATTTATTTCAGAGAGGAAGGGAGAGTAACATTAATGATGAGAGAGAACCATTGGCCAGCTGCCTCCTGCACACCCTCTACTGGGGAGAGAGCTCCTAACCCAGGCATGTTCCCTTGACCGGAATTGAACCCGGGACCCTTCAGTCCACAGACTGGTGCTCTATCCACTGAGCCAAACCAACTTGCTTCCCACTTGCTTTTAAGTTAGATACTAGGCAGTTATGATTTTCCATTCCAGATCCCAAGTTCTATAAATCATCTCAGAAACTATTAGGTCAACCAAAATGCAAAAGTACAATACAATGGAAAGATATTCCATTTTAAAAAATAAAACTAAGAAAGATAATCAATTTGAAGAAAAATTTTTAAAAAAACAACACCTATATAAATATAGAAAGTGACAAAGGAACTTTCACATAGTAAATGACATTCAAAGGGACCCTGGAAGGGACATTCTTGCCTGTTTCTAGAACTGTCCTACTCTAGGACAGCGGAGACGACAGAGCTGGGACCCATGTCACTTTGAGGGGTTTGTTGCAAGACTGGTTTGGACCTGGGCCTCTGGTGGGTGGGGGGAAGGGGGGTTTGCTATCACACCTCTGTCTTTATGGACCGACGGGCATTTTTACTACTTTGTGTGATGCACTGATAGTCTAACTGCAGACAGGATAGCAGCTTCCTCCTTGCGACCAATTCCAGAAAGGCGACCAATTCCAGAAAGCTGGTCATGACAGATCGCCTTCCTCCCCTGGAAACAGGCAGGGTTTCTGCGGGCAGACGGGGGCTTTAGATGGAGCTTTGCCCCTGCGTTTCATCTCTCCAGGCAGATGTCGATGACGTGAGCGAAGGGCCACAGCAGACATCCTGGTTCCCCCCCAAGGCTGGCTGGGGAGCTGGACAGCCCCTGTTCGGACCTGTGCACTGCCGGAGGTGATTCTAACTCAAGTTGTATCCCAGAGACCTGGGGACAGCCAGGCGCCAGCTTATTGCCAGGTCCTGGCGATGAACCAGTTGGAAAGCACGGGGGCAGCTGGGTGTGACATGCCTGTGGCTTCAGGGTCTCTCACCCAGGGCTGCTTTCAGCAGACCTCCCGCCTGAGCAGGGCGCACTCAGTGGCTCTGCATTTGGCGCAGTTTTGAAGATCACTTTGTATCCGTTTAGTACACCACCTGGCTCCTGCTAGAGAGATGGCCTGTCCAATCCACTGACCAAAACCTCACGTTTCCAGCTCCAGATGAATGCAGTAGGACTAGTTGCTCCCTCCCCCCCCCAACCCCACCCCCAGTTATCTGTGGTAGTGTCTTGGAAAATTCACTTAACATTATAGAGATAAAATGTATCTGATATTTTCAGACATTTAATACTTGGGAATTTTCAGAATGTGCTGAACTAGAACAGAAAAAATGTTAATGTTTGTGAAATGAAGAAAGATCAAAAGAAACGCATTCCGCAGCTGGTAGCAGCTCGGGTCACACAGCCTGGGAGCTGAGGGCTGGATCCGACGCCACGTGACCGCTGGGAGGCCCCACCGCAGGCCGCCGTGACTGGAAGGACTGTCTGTCCTGCCCGTGAGCGGAGCGGCCACGTGTGACAGATCCGTGTGGGGAGGGAAAGGCCGCCTCCAGCCTCTGTGCTGGACGCCACTAGAGCGCCCGCCTAACGCCTCACGTGAAGTTTAGGCTTTGGAGCTGCCGGGTGGGTGAGAATGAATTCACCATTCTCCATCCGACACCGTCCAGTCTAAGATGCCCGGAGTGGGAGAAAGCACCGCTCAGGCCTGTCCCTGCAAACTGGCAGCCCAGACCACCTTCCACCCTGAGCCTACCTGGGCAAAGCACTGCACTGTGAATTCTGAGGCTGCAACAGGTGACAAGAGTGGGACGTGTGGCACAAATATTTCCATGCCACCTTTGGAGACAGACCCCCACCAAGGCCACGGTCGCTCTCTGGTAACACCCAGTGTTTAGCTAACATGGAAGACAGAGGTGCTTTACTGGAACCTCACACTGGTTTCTCGTTATTAACAGGGAGTCACATAATTGAGAAATTATTGCTGTCAAAGGAGGAATTCAGGAGTACAAGAGGCAGGAGCGTGTGGGGAAATGCAGGGGAGGTCAAACAAACCCTTACTCCACGCTGTTGAATTTCTCCCTTTGCGTTTGCTCAGTGCAGACGTGAGCAGGTGAATGAGACGTGAGCTGCGGCATCTGCGGTGGGTGGACAGAAGGTAGATCAGATCCCCTTCCAGCTCAGTGAGGGGGGCACACAGAACACCCCACACTGTCTTTGAAGCCCCGTGCCCACCTCTGAGGGATCATAGGGCCCCCCACCCACTCCAGAGGACCAGAGATCGGAGCAGCCGCGTCTTAAGTTGAATTTAGGCAGGTTGTGAAGTTCTGAGGAGTTCATTCAGGCAAAAGGAAATTGTGAGCCCAACCATCAGGGTAAAAAGCTCGGAAGCCAGCAAGCCTGTGGTTTTGTAGATTTGATCGGAAAATTCATTAATTCCTGTGGCTAAACATCAATAAAGAAAAATGATCAAATGTGCTAGAAATCTGGGGGAAAGAATGATAAGTCATGGACTCTTGCACGGGAGGGAGGCTGAAAATGGGGAAGTGCCATCTGGACGAAAAGAATTTGGTTTCTTCTAGTGGAAAAACTGAGTTGGGAGGTTTTTTGCTTTTACAGTGTTTTTAGGGCAAAGGTGCCCTTTAACAATTCGTCCTCTCCATTTCCAGGTGCCCCTTAGGTGTCGTGTTGTTGTGTTTTTAGACCTGAGACACTTTGAACTTGTCTACCTGAGCCATGAACAGGTCAGCCCATACTACATGCTTCTGCAAGGTGTTTCCACGAGCCAATGACAAATTTAATAATAACACATAAATCGGACAGTGGGAAGATCCATGTGAGGGCAATGGATTGATCTTACACTCAGAGGAGCCTTCTGCCTTATTGCGAAACCAATCACATCTCACCGTAACTTTTGCAACGTCTCACTTCCCCTGTAGCTAGGCCAGGTCATTTTAGGCAACTGCCCTGTTGTGTAAGATTCGAACTGCTTAAAGAAAAGAACAAAGTTCATAAAATAACCCCATTTCTACAAGTCCTTCCATGAGAAATCATTTTATTAACCCGAACGACTCAAAGCAAGCTTCCATCCATGGCTGGTGGCGACTGCCAAGTCCTTGTGGCTGCGCAGCGTGGCGGATTTCGAAGTGAACCGTCAGGGGTGCCTTCAGCTCTGTGGCCCTGCCCTTGTTGCCCCCGGGGGTTTCTGCTGCTGCAGACAACCCTCCAGACACAGATCTGGGCTCTAGCTGCTTACTAGGGTTTTCTTTTGGAACTGATTCCAAGCGGGAATTTCTTAGAGAAGATCCGTTTTCAAGCTGGATAGTAAGCATGTCTAGAGCAAGACAAGCCAGAACGAGTCAGGATCCAAAACCTGGTTATAAAATTTAAGGGAGGGACTCGGTTTCAATAACATATGATCCACCCTCCCCATCCCATTCGAAGCCTCTTACCAGGCTCCCGGAATGGTGAGCAGACAGAAAAATACCTCCCTAACGCCGATGTTTTAAGTCCGCAGGTTGGGTCAGATAGTGTTTGGAGTGCGTTTGTCCAGTTTCCTGTCTTTTCTATATGCATCACATTGGAGTAGAACCAGGAAGTACTGATCACTCAAGTGGAGCCAGCGGATGGAGCAGAGCCCTAAGCGCATTTCACAGCCTTGCCCTCAACACCGGACTCAAGCGGGACCACTGGCAGCCCTGGGAGGGTGTTAGAAATGCCGATCTTGCACCTTCCTCTGGATGTACTGAATCAGCCCACGTTTTAACAAGATCCCGGCGATTGGTTTACATGCTGAAATTTGAGACGTACGGCTTTATAGTGATCGCTTTAATTTTTCTCCCTTTTTGGACTAATCCTGCCATGTACTGAGAGAAGATGTGCGGAATGATGAGCTGCAGGGATTTGCTGAATGGGCTGCTCTTTGTTTCTCTACCAGCTGCATGCCTGCTGTCCTTAGGCGCTGACTACACCCCATAACCAACTGTGTGGAAGGCACATTTATCCACACGAGCTGTTCCTGGGAAGGTGTCTTTAAGTAAAATCACACAATACACACCCATGCTATGTGTGCGACTGTGCGGTGTGAAGCTGACAAGCTAACATTTGTCAAAGAACACCTACGGGAAATGTCCCGTTTTGCCACTAGGTGGAAATAGAGTAATTCTGAGTATATTTTTAGGGCCATGGGAAATCATTTAGTGTAATCCTTACCATTTTAATTTCACAGGCAAGAAAACCCAGGTTCGGTGACAGTAAGTAAAACGGCATCTGTCTTATAAATGGAAGCTTTCTAGAGAGACCGGGGAAGAGTTGCTGGTAATTCCTGATTTCAACCACTTTCCTCCAGAAAAGAATGTGTTACTGTCCCGCAGTGGGAAGGAGGGGAGGGCGTGACACCCAGATGCCCCCATTCTGTGTGTAAGGACAGGCTAGACCACAAGCGGCCCTTGTGCCCTGTATTGTAATGCAATTCATCTCAATCAGGTGAAAATGCTCCCCTTTCCCCAAAGAAGAAACACTCAGGCATCCATCAAGTCCTACAGGACTTTCACCAGATTTGTCTTCACATTTTTGGTTTTTATGCCTCACACGGGGCTCAAGGTAAGTGGCCTAGACCAGGACTCTAGTTAGCAGGTGAAGGAAGTACTTGCTGTTTTTCGGAGCTTGAAATCCATGGTCGTTCCTCTTAAGGAAGAAAGGGAATCTGGGTTTGCAGGACGTTGGAAATGACCCGCCCCAGTCCCTGTCTGTGCACATACCACACGGGGCCCGCGGTAGCAGAGCCCTCGCCAGGCCCTTTGTCCCAGGGAGACACTCATAGATGTTGGCCTGTATCTTTGTTTGTTGATGTGTTTTGACCACAAAAGGATTGTTTCCACTTATCACATCACAGTGTGTTTACAAGTTAAGTTGCAGGTAATGTCTCTGGCTTAAAACGATTTCTTAAGCACCTAAATACTTAGTATTATAGTGACGTTTCCCTCTTGATGTTTCTGGAACACGATCGATTATGAGTCTTTAAAATGTAGTATGTCAGTGCTGAGTCCTGGCTATTGTTACCTTATTCTAAACAAAAACGGTAAATGTTGGATGGGCACATTAGGAATGCAAGTGCAAGCCCACAGCGGCTGCCTGTGTGTGTGTGGGGTGGGGGGGGGCGCGGGCGGGTGTTTGTGTGTGTGGAAGGTCGGGGGCGGGGGAAGCAGCCACTACCCGCCCAGGTGGCTGGAAGCCAGTTCTAGCATCACTGAGCAATGACCTTCGGCTGCCCTCAGAGCAGCAGAGCGCAGCGCAGGCTGAGACAAGTGCACACTGTGCGCTCAGTAGAAGACGGTACCTAAGATCATATATGCTAGGGCCCGGCACAGTCTCGCACATCAAAGGCCCTCGATAAATATTTGATTACTACACTACCCAAATAGAAACCAAGCCTGAAATATTGAAACAGCACAAAAGGAAAACTGGGGTGACCTAAACTTAGGGCAGGGACTTAAAATGAAAGGGAGCCCGGGGAGGGGAAAAAACGCCCTGAGGCATGCTGGGAGATGACACCAGCTAGGGTGCAGGGGCTGCAGCCAGAGGCCGCCAGGTGTGGTCCCACTTCACAGGCTCTGCGGGGAGAAGGGCTGGACTGGGATTCAGCCCTGCACCACCACCCCCCCGCCCCCAACCTTCCCTGCCTTCTTTCCTCTTTAAAAAGCTGGGATAACACCTGTTAGCAAAACCTGGGTGGAGATCAGCGTTACTGACTGTGAAGTGCCCGGGACCACAGGTCCATCAAGGAGCCGCCTCTCTGCGTGGCAGCTCCCTCACCCGAACCCACCCTTCCCCACCGAGCCCAGGGTCCGCTCCTGTGACACGTCCACCGTGAACAGTATGCCTTCTATGCAGGAACAGGGCGTTGTGGTGGCTAACGGCGCCGAGGAGAGGCCGTGGGCCTGCCGCCTCTGGGTGCAGAAGCTGAAGGGCTCGCTCCTCTGGGAATGTGCACTAATGAACATTCCCGCGTGGGGACATGGAATTGCAACCACAGGCACTTAAGCTGAAACTTCCTACGGAGTTTTCGTTTGGAAACCGATCTTCCGGGGCCACCTCCACCCATGCCGCACCCTCTGATAAAACCGTCTAACTCGCTCAGGTCTATACTCACCTTGAGGTCCTAACTGGGCCGGGTGGCCTGCGGGTGGGGGGACAGGTGTCTCGGGAGGGTGTGGCATGTGCGTTTGTCCCGTGACTTGGAGCCCAGATGAGCCAGGCGAATACGTCTAACAATCCATCAGGCAGCCAACCTGCTGACCGACCCCTCCCAGCGCCCGAGCCGGGGAGGGCCCATCTACGCGCTGGGTATTTTAAATGGAAACGGGGCTTGGTGGTGAGGCTGGGGCCCGGGAGAGGCGGGCGCTCGGGCGACTCTCTGGCTTCCCGGGCGTGAAGGGAAGCGGGA